AATTGAATAAAGAGGCTATGGACCATTGAGTGCTAAATAAACCAAGATGAAAGGGACATTTGGAAGGGAAAATGCCAGAGAGCTTTTATTTTTCTATCAGTGAAAGGAGAATCTTCTGAGAATAATTCTTTGGCTGTTGGATCGGCCTGAGGTCCTAAGACTGGCCAATTCAAATTAAGCCTGAAATAGATTTCTCTAAACAGCAACAGTTTGAAATAGGTCTTCAGACTGAGGCCAGAATGAGATGTTGGTCTCAGATCTTGAGTGAGGAATCAGTGTCTCCTAAAAGCCTGACATGGGATTTCTTGATTCCAAGCACCTCATCCCAAATGGCAGAGCCCCCTTCCAACTTAGGGACTTTATTACAGTATTGTCTGTTCATATAGTCCCTAAAATAATAATTAAAAAATAGATGGACGGTGCTTATTTATTCTGAACTCTATATCCCACAAAATTAGATTTGAAAGCCTAACATTTAACTACCTTGTTGCATTAGAAGGTTTCTTAGCTGGATAACAACAGGCTGAAAGTTTACTAAATTCACTAACAGTCTTTTGCTGGGTTTGTGAAACAGCTTGAATTAAATATCCAGGTGGGATCACTTAAAACAGAAATGCTCTATCTCAAGACAGGGAGCCTCCAGCTCACTGCCTCCTTGATCTCTTACACGTAAGGATCTTATGGTGTCCTGGCTCCCTTCTCCGCATAGGAGACGAGGGTCTCCCTAACATGACCATGGGAATCTGGTGGGAAAAATTCCATAGGAACTATGGGCTCAGCAAATAGGGAAGGGAAGGAGCTGTGAAACCTGGGAAGAGCCAGGGGGAGCTGACCCGGGGGCAGAATCCCACGCAAGGCTGGCCCAACTGACTGACTGCGGGGCCCAAAATAGCCTCCCCGCAAGGCCTGCATTTCTTCCACTCTCTGTACTTTGTTGGGCTGCTTGAAATTCCACCATTTAGAGCAATGTCTTGGCAGAGGCCGAACTGACAGCCTGGGACGGAAGAAAAGGCACTCACTGGGTGCGTGTTGGGAGGAGCAGCGTGGCAAGTACGATGGTTGTTTATGGGGCACGGGCTTTACAAAGCATTGCCTCATGTAACTGTTCACAGCAGCCCCGGGAGGCAGGCTGAATAGTGTTCCTGTTTCACAGATGAGGAAACTGAGGTTTGAGAGCTGTTAAGTAACAGTTAAGTGGCCAGGCTGGCTGAACTGAATGTGTGAACTTGAGCTCTTGCTTGTTGAAACTCCATGATTTCTTGCTCTGTGCCCTCCTTCTGCAGATTATGGGAAATGACAACTTGGGAGGAGACTCTAGCTTCATAATATTGTGAATCATATCTCAATTTGATCAAGGTTACATAGATTTTTGTGGGCTAGTCTGAGAACTTGATGGCTTGATTTGCAAGATTGTTTCTCTAGGAAATTTTGTGACTTGCTACCAAACCGGTAGAATGGAACCCCATTATATTACAATGCATTGTGGATTACTTGCAATTATAATTTAGCAATGCTCAGTGTTTCTTCTAATTATTTTCCAGTCACACAAAAAGGCCACCTTTTCTGAGCAAGGTTATAGTTTTAGTTTACAATGCCACCAAATTGCACCACACCCTGTACCTTTATTAGATAGTACATTTTGTGAGGACAGGGGCTTTTGTCTGTGTACTGAGGATTCCCTAGCCCCTAGGACAGTGCCTGGCACACACAGGCACACATTAATTACTTGTTGAATGCATAAGTGCTTTTAGATCACAAATTTTTAAAAAGCAAATGCATTTTATGCTTTGTGAAACACATTTAGAGTTATCATGCACAGCTGAGAACTGGTATATGTCTATGATTAACAAACCTTTAAAAACTGCAAGCAACCTTGTGCAACACAGTTTTACTCATTAGTTGAAAACTTTCCTCCCATATATTTAAGTGTTTTCTCCTAGGTAGCAAGACTGAACGCTCTGCAATTCAGTGGTTTAGAGAAACTCGGGTTCTGGCTTCAGCAAATCTTCCTCCTGCCATCATGGAACCCTGGCACTTTGGATAAACTACTTAATATCTTTAGGCCTGGGAAATTTAGGCGCTACCTTTCAGCTCTAAAATGCTATGACATCTGTGCACAAGACCTTCTAGTTTCACCTTGTACATGCCTCAGGCCTGCTCTAATCACACGTTAGTAAAGACACAGGTAAAAAGCACAATGATAAAATAAAAACAAAGATGGTGAAACGGGAAAGTCTTGGATGACCCGAAAGGAAAACCACAAGTCTTTAAGTTTAGACAAGTTTGAAGCTGCTACAAGAAGCAGCCACAACCCATGAACTTTATGGTCAACCTCTGTGCAGACAAGTGGGCCAGTTACGACTTCTACTTGGTTTCAACACGTGATAATGGTAGGAACAAGATTCTGGCTGCTTCATTTACATCAGAACCAGCAGAATACATGCGATCTCAAGGGTGAATGTGTAGACAGGGTGCAGTCCAGCCCCCTTTGAACAGCATAGAATGACTGACTCAGGTAACACGAAAGAGCCTTTGCTCAATCACTAAATTCCAAGAAGAGGGATCAGTATTTATGGCACTTTCTATTTTCAAACGACGAGTGACTTAATGTTTTCTACATAAGCCTTCACTGCACGGTGTACAGTGCAGGATATAAATGTCAGCACTGTGACAGTGCATGTTGACACTGGTTGAGTGTTCAAAGTCTGCACATTGTCTTTATCCTGCCTTCCCCGCACTGACAACTTGCTACTGAATTGAACATACCTGGAAAGAAGTCAATTTGGCTTAGAATGCAGCTCACTTTCTCTTTGGGAACATTTCTCTTTCAAGGATCTATTGGGTCTTCCCATAGATAAAACAGAATCGGGTGTGCTCTGCTGGTTCAAATGTAAATACAGTAGTCAGAATCTTGTCCATCGATACTACTGATACTACTGATGACTTAGTATCAGTTTTGGAAAAAAACCTCCCTTCCCCCACAACTCCCCCCACCCCAATCAATGAGATTAATGTTACCTTGCTTGCTCTGTGACTAGCTGGACCTTACATGAGGCACAGATTTTCTTAGGGTATTATCAAGGCATAGGGATTCACCTGACTGCACATTAGACTCACCTGGGGAACACCTAAATCTCTAGTTGCCCAGGCCACACCTCAAGCCACTTAGATCAGAATCTCTCTGGGTGAGGCCCAGCACCAGTAGTCACTACAGCTCACCAGGTGAGTCCAGTAAGCAGGGGTCTAATGAGTCTCTTCCCAGAGGAAGGTTAGGGTGGAGCGTGAAGGTTGGGGTAGGCCAGATCTCAGTCACTGGCGTTTTGGAATGGAAAGGCCTTCCATTACTGTACAGCTGTAAACTGTTCATTGAGTCTGGCAGTAAGTAATTTGTTCGAGGTGACAAATTAGCCAAAAGCAGAGCCAGAAGCAGGAGCCAGCATTAAATAAGCCAAGGTAGACAGGATACCAATATTCTTATTAAATTTCCATGAACTAATCAGCTTCATAATCAGGCACAGTCATTTTTCCTCCAGAGTGCCTTGGTGAGAAAACTATTACCTTTCACTGGGTTCCTGTTCCTCTGACCTAGGCTGTTTGAATGAATGAAAAGCCATTTAGCCTTCATGGGTACTGTTCTGAAGACTGTGGCACTAAAGCACATTTTAAGTTTCTACTGGAGAAACATTATATACACTAGGATAGAAATTTGTGGCTGAAACCAAAACCTTTAAAAATACGTCTATACAACTAACTGACATACACTCTTGGAACAGTTACTTCAATTTCAAGGGATCAAACTGGGCTCTCTAACCCTAAGTCACTCTTGAAGACTTAATTTGTCTTAGAAAAATGCACTTTTTCTTGGGAACTCAGGAAGAAGATGCTTTTATTATTGTAATTAAGCATAAGATAAGCACATCACATTTCCTAGGCTACTTTTAGCCCAAGGCCACAGGTTTGGGGGACTCCAGCATACAGCTGACTTTGGAACCCTTTCAATGGTGCCTATGATCACAATACTTTTCAAATGCAGAATAGGGTAATAGAAATGGGGAGTAGCCAGCATTGTTATGGCTATGGTTTACTGTTGCTTTAGTTTGGGGTTGTGCAAATTTTCTATTCCTCCCCAGTAATCTCTAACTTGTGATGAAGCATATTCTGCTTTATGCAATAGATAAACTTCTCAAGAGCAGAGGGTAAATTATATCAAATCATAGTTGACATGCCCTGATAAACTGCTAAGACATTTTTGAGAGGCAAATCACAGATTTATTTTCTAATATGAATAATCTGGTCTTAAGAGTTAACATTGTCATGTGTGGAGTGAACTACAGTTTTTTTGTTTTTTCCCCTAGCCCCAGCCAGCGCTATTTATCGTTTTCTTTCTAGAACCGGAACTTTCCTCAACACACTTGACACTGCCCAGATGCTTGTTCTGGAAATCAAGGCCTTTCTGTGTTGTCTCTGACTCTGGCATGGTTTTGTGAAACCTCAGCCTTTTCCCTTGCAAGGGCAGTTTAGGATGGAAATGCAATTGTTCTCAGAATTCAGCACAGCCAGGCACACCCTAACAGAGATAGAGGGCTTTGGAACAAAACACGGGTGTGTGTGTGTGTGTGTGTGAGATGGGGAGGCAGAGAAAAGAGAACACTGCGTGTTTTCCTGTGGTGGTGGGAGTGGTGGGGAAAACAGCTGTTGATCGGAATCTAAATGAGCAGCAGAAAAACGTGTTACCCTCTGTGTTGGGCAAAGCCAGCACGTGCCATGCAGACTTGGGGCACCAGTTGGTGGCCGCGCACCGGGAGGGGGCTTCGGCGCCTGCGCGGCTCTTCCCTGGGAGCCCACTCTGCTGTCGGGGCTGACTTGGGGTGCGTGCGGGCGGCGGGCGGGGGTGACCCCTGCGGGGAGGGAACGGTTCTTACAGTCACTGCTCGGCGCGAAGGGCGCGCGGCGGCGGCCGAGGGAGCGGTCTTCGGCGGGCGCCTCGGGAGGCCTCTTACCGGCGGGCAGCGGGAAGGCGGACGCGGTGTGGAGCAGCACCAGGCAGACAGCCACAACATCCCATAACTTCATCTTAGAGTCCCGTCCGGCGGCGGCACCTGTGCGGGCGGGCGGGCAGGGGCGCAGAACCGGGGAGAGCACGTTAGGCCTGGATGCTGGGGCCCGCGCGGGTCCCCGGGGCTCCCCTCCAGACTTGGCACCGCCCTCCTTCCGGACCGCTGCGGCCGGGCGCTTCCCCGGGCACCCCCACCCTTCTTTCCTTCCCAGCGCCCTGCCTGTCCCTGCTCCGGGGTGCGCCTCTCTGGTTTCCAACAGACAACTGCCTTTTTCTTCCGCCATCGGATCCCAAGATTTCGGGGCAGGGCTGTTTCCCCCTAACAGTACCAATACGACGACAGCAGTACCGGCGCGCAACCCCATCTCCATTCTGGGGGGCGACCGGGCAACCCTCACCCTGTGCTCCCGCCCCGTCCAGCAGCTCCCACAGACCCCCCTGGAGAACGAGCCCTGAACCCAAGCAAGAGACCAGCCCGCCCGGGGTCCTGATCCTGTCCTCAACTAGGCGGGGGCAGGCTCAGTGGCACCACGAACCCTGCCCAGGCTTTATTCCTGCCATTTCAACTAGTGTTTTGTCGTCGAAACAAGAAGCCAGTGGGGACTTAAAAGACTTTGAGGCTGTCCAGGAATATCTGTGTTAAGCTCCTGAACTTTCCAAAGTTTCAACTCGGTTTAAAATACTACTTCCACTTCTTAAGGTTACGAATATTAACATATGAAAAGGCCTAACCATGCATAACGTAAGCGTTCAACAAATGCTTTAGCGTTACAGTTAGGGAGGGATTGCCTCGGTCTCGAAAATGTTCGTGGGTGTACTCGAATACTCTCTTTATTTTTGCATTTTTGCAAGATTCTGGCCTTAAATCGTTTCCCCTCGCAGAGGGGTTTCGAGCTCCCCACGCCGGGTCACAGTCACTCCTGGACGATCGTAGCCTGTAGGGGACGCTACGCAGGAGCGCCGGCACCAGAAGGTCGAGACCGGGAAAGGGCGCACGGTGGGGGCTCAGCTCCTCTTAGAGGGCTCCGTTTGGCTTCTCAATCCTCACACCCCTAGAAAGGAGGGCGGGCGAGAAAAAGGGTATCCTCAACTCAGGGCCCAGCTCCACGCAATAAGGAGGCGAGGCGGAGGTGGGGGGGGGG